AAGAAGAGAGGTTCAATTGTTGTGAAAAACACTTCAGGGCACCCAAGAAAGTCCAGCAAGCGCCAGGACCATCTCCTAAAGTTGATTCAGCTGCGGGATCAGGGCATCACCAGTGCAGAACTTGTTTAGGAATGGCAGCAGGCAGGTGTGAGTGCATCTGCACACATAGTGGGGTGAAGACTTTTGGAGGATGGCCTGGTGTCAAGAAAAGCAGCAAAGAAGTCACTTCTCTCCAGGAAAAACACCAGGGACAGACTGATATTCTGCAAAAGGTACAGAGCTTGGACTGCTGAGGACTGGGGTAAAGTTATTTTCTCTGATAAAATTCCCTTTCCATTTGTTTGGGGCATCTGGAAAAAACCTTGTCCAGAGAAGAAAAGGTGAGTGCTACCGCCAGTTCTGTGTCATGCCATGACACATGCCATGTGTAAAGCATCCTGAGACCATTCATGTGTGGGGTTGCTCCTCAGCCAATTGAGTGGGCTCACTCACAATTTTGACTAAGAACACAGCCATGAATAAATATTGATACAAAAACATCCTCCGAGAGCAACTTCTCCCAACCATCCAAGAACAGTTTGGTGACAAACAATGCATTTTCTAGCATGATGGAGCACCTTGCCAGAAGGCAAAAGTTATACCTAAGTGGCTTGGGAACAAAACATCGAAATTTTGGGTCCATGGCCAGGAAACTCCCCAGTCCTTAATCTCATTGAGAACTTGTGGTCAATCCTAAGGAGGCGGGTGAACAAAAAAACACCACAAATTCTGACAAACTCCAAGCATTGATTATGCAAGATGGGATTCCATCAGTCAGGATGTGGCCCAGAAGTCAATTGACAGCATGACAGGGCAAATTGCAGAGGTCTTGAAAAAGAAGAAGGATCAACACTGCAAATATTGGCTCTTTGCATAAACGTAATGTAATTGTCAATAAAAGCCTTTGACACTTGTAATTATACTTCAGTATACCATAGTGAAATCTGACAAAAATCTAAAAACACTGAAGCAGCAGACTTTGTGAAAATGAATAATTGTTGCATTCTCAAAACGTTTGGCCATGGCTGTATAATCCAACATGAAATTTAATCTATAATGTAAAGCGCTGAGCAAACTGTTGGCGCTATATAAAAGCCTGTATAATAATAATAACTTGTGAGCAATTACAGCATCCCATACCAGTTGCTTATAGACCCTGTCTGAGATTTTGTAGTTTAGCTATCCTAGTGCCAAATTGCACGATTGGTGGTCACTGGTCAGCAGAGAAATCAAAAATTCACCCAACTTTAGTCTGCAATCTAGAATTGTGCTTACAAGTAGCATCTATGTAATATTAAAAAAAAAAAAAAAAAAAAAGCAAATGCAGGGGTTTGAACTCCATAAAGTGGGCTCCAATGTTCACAGCAGGACATCACAGATCACAAGACATTAAACACAAGGCAATGTCTGGACACATGCCTGGACATCATGTCTCAGTGCTCACAACAGAACAAAGTGCAGATTAGTTTCTAACAAGCAGTTGTTTAATCACCACAAATTTGGATCTCTGTGAATCTGAAGGCAGACACTACCTACCAAGACGTCTGCAATGCAGAGCTGTCATATCTGGTAATCCAATCATGAAGAAATTAATTAGGAATACAGGGTCCAGTAAGCATGTGCTTTATCTGATAGCAGGGGAATACACTTAGGCGCCAGTTCTAATTCTTTAAGGACACGTGCAACTATGCTCAAGGGACTTGTCCATTCTGTGAAAACTCATACCTTATTTTTAACCATTTCTACTCGTGGTTTATATAATGCCAATATATCCTGCTGCCCTCCACAGAAAACTTGAATTATTCTTTTTTACACTGCAGATCACAATCTAATGTCCACTCCACAGCAATCAGCATATACACACATTAGGAGAATTTCAGGCAAAAGACAAACAATAAAATACATAAATTAAAAAACAAAAAAACAAAACCTGGAGCCACTGATTGAGAAACATTTTCCAACAAGCCTTTTAGACAGAAGTCTACCATTAGATCAACTTCTGTTGGGTGGAAGCAGCTACACATGTGTCGAAATTCAGCTGGTTCAGCAAGGACCAGATGAATTTTGATCCATCTATGCCAAGCTTAAAGCAGCGCATAGATGTTAATGCAAGCAGCGGGTTGACTGAAAAAAAAAATAAAAGAAAAACAAAACATAACCCAGTTCCCCCAGCCACACATTCAAGGTGGATGGGGGAATCCTCCCCGCTAAGCTATTGCATTCTGATAGCAGAGAGGCTTCCCCATGGTCAGAATATACTTATCAGCATTGCAGCAGAGATCCAGTGGGAAACATCCAACAGCGCTGATGTACAGAAGACAGTTGGTATATTGACTTCTGTATACCCTTCCTGCACATACATGGATCAAAATTTGGCTGGTCCCTGCTTAACTGACTGAATTTTGATCCATGTATGGCCAACTTATAAGTATTAAAACACAAAACCAAAGATGTATGATATTGCAGCTTTACGGATCATTAGTTGTGGTGGCTGTATTAGTTTTCTTTTTTTAGGCTTTTTCCCCCTCTGATTTCCCCTGTGATCTGGCCAGTAACACACCTGTATTATACAGACGCCACTTTGCTTGAAGGGGGCAGATTTGAATAGCAACATTGTCAGTCAGGGGGAGGAAAGTGTTAGAAATACCAGCAGATTTAAAGTGTAAAAATTGAAGCTGAACCCCAGCTAATACTTTATAATCAGTTACAGCAGTGGTCTCCAAACTGCAGCCCCCCCCCCCCCCCCGGCAGGTAGGCATTTCAAGGTTTAATGTTTAAATTTTATCTTTAACACACACACACACATATATATATATATATATATATATATATATATATATATATAAAATAAACACTTAACCAATTGGTACCCGAGTCAAAATTCATACTGCAATAGCCACATAAAACACTAACAGTCCTATGACTGGACTTTTAAAACCACCTGTTAAATATCTGAGTAGACCACGATTGCCCCTTTTAGGCTACCTTCATACCTGTCACACTGTTTTCTCTGTTCCTTGAAACATGTGCCCAGCATCTTGACAAGTGTAAGAAGGTTCTGCAGTTTTCCAGAGTAGCTGAGCCAAGAGCACAAAACCTTGTTTTTTTTACCAACTGTACTGTGCATATGTTTACTCCAAATAATTTCTATTTTCCAGAAAATCTTTATAAAGCTTTACAAAAAAATCTCAACATCAAGTAAGTATTCTGTTCCCTCAACAGAAGAGCAAACCACCTTCCTGAAATGTCATAATCAGCCAGAAAGTTATTTGATTAGAGTTTCTGGAAGCAGGCAGATTAAAATCATGGCTTTCTCTAGCAACATGCATTCATTACAGCACAATAAGATGTATTCCAGCAGTTAAATAAGCATGGTATCTGACATTTCCAACTTTGCTAATTTTATAAAATACAATGTGTAATAACATTTAATTTGTAACCCTGGCAGCAAATGCTCAACAGAATGACAACAAACACCATAAAATATACACTGTATCGTGTGTTAGGTTCTGCTAGGAAAGGGAGACGGTTTTATGATTGCTACATTGAAGGACACATCAGAAAGCAGTCCTGTGATTACAAATAGCAGCTTCCAATTGAACACTGAAATATAGCTACATTTTATCAGACATAGACAGGGCTCCAACACAATGTGGTTTATAAATAATTGTCTAAACATCTCTTTATTTTATGCTGCGTTCTATGCTAGAAAGACAGGTCTCTCTAAGTGGAAGTTAGCAGACCCTGGGACAGTGTCTGCTTGGAGATCTATGATCAATGCAGACTTTCCTCTTTATCAGCTCATGTATATGGGTAGTAACTTTCTCACAAATTTGGGAAAATATGGTTGGCTTGGGTAGATGCTAGGAACCTTACTTTTGAAAAATTGATATATTGATCTGTAGTAGCCCTGGGTTTTACCACACATGATTTGCAGGATCCCTTGGATATGACTGTCTGTTGTCTTCCAAAGAAACTTTTTTTGAAGTAATGTGTGAGTTTGTCTTGTATTGTTTGCTCCATCCTTTTCCTGTTTTACATGTGTAACATTGCACTATGTTCAAAAAATGCTATTGGTTAAAAAAAAGAAAACACAACACACACACACACACCCTCTGCTTATTTTCATTAGGATATTTTTTGCTGTCCGCACAAAATATAAGCATTCACTTGATGGACTGAAGCAAACAAAACACTGCCCATGGTGACCAAACAGCTGTTATCATGATGCTTTTACTTACATCTGGAGTTTCAATGGTCTTAAAAGGCAATACCTGCATTTCTTTACCCTCTTTGTATACATAGGGACGATCTTACTAAAAACTGCAGCAGCCAAAAACTGGAGGAGATTTGCATGGAAACCAATCAGCTCTCAGTTTTCATTTTCAAAGCTTAACTGAACAAACTGCAGTTAAAAGCACTGATTTAGTAACCCCCCCCAATCCCCCAAAGTATTTACAGTGGGAATTTAATGCAATGCTTATGCATGTCACACATTTTTTTAACTGCCTCCCGTCCGCCATATAGGGAAATGAGGGGCGCAGGGCGGTTCTCTCATTCTGGGAGGATGTCCTATGACGTTCTCCCACTCTAACAGCATGTGCACGGCTCCGGGAGCGTGAAGCACGGCGATCGTTGGTGCGCTATGTCCCTTGGAGATGTCGGCTCGGTCATGTGATCAGCTGTATCCAATCACAGCTGATCGCAAGTAAAAATAGGGAAATGCCGGTTATCGGCATTTCTCTCCTCCCGAGCTGTCACGCTGACAGCTCGTGAGGAGAGGAGAGCCGGTAATCGGCAATACTCAGAGGGGATATGTACACTGATCATCAGGGCACTGATGATCAGTGTGCCCTGATGATCAGTGTAGCCCCAGCAGTGCCAACTGTCAGTGCTCATCAATGCCACCTGCCAGTGCCCATCAATGCCACATATCAGTGCCCATCAATGCCACATATCAGTGCCTACCAGTGCCCATCAATGCCACCTATCAGTGCCGCCTATCAGTGCACATCAGTGCCGCCTATCAGTGCACATCAGTGCCGCCTATCAGTGCACATCAGTGCCGCCTATCAGTGCACATCAGTGCCGCCTATCAGTGCACATCAGTGCCGCCTATCAGTGCACATCAGTGCCGCCTATCAGTGCCAGTCAGTGCTGCCTAACAGTGCCGCCTATGAGTGCTGCCTTTCAGTGCCCATCAGTGATGCCTGTCAATGCCCATCAGTGCCACCTACCAGTGCCACCTATCAGTGCCCATCACTGCCCAGCCTCATTAGCGCACATCAGTAAAGGAGAAAAATCACTTATTTACAAAATTTATAACAAAAACTAAGAAAAAATTGTTGTTTTTTTTCACAATTTTCAGTTGTTTTTGGTTTGTTTAGCAAAAAATAAAAAACCCAGAGGTGATTAAATACTACCAAAAGAAAGCTCTATCTGTCTCAAAAAAATGATAAAAATTTCATATGGGTACAATGTTGCATGACCGCGAAATTGTCATTCAAAATGCAACAGCGCTGAAAGCTGAAATTTGGCCTGGGCAGGAAGGGGGTATAAGTGACATGTAGGAAAGTGGTTAAAAAGCTTACCATTTATAAATTAGCCACTGGAGGGAGCAAAAACTGTTTGTAATTACTCTGTGTCCGCCCTTAACAACTGCTGAGATAAGATATCAGCCACACAGGGAGAGCCTAGTTTTCAAAGAGTCAGCCTACCAAAAGGATAACACTCTCCAAAGGAGCAGTAAAGCACAGCCACTGTGTAGCATGGCAAAGCAGGAGGCAGAAGCTGGCTATGGAATATAAAACTATTGCTGCTGGCATATACATATATAATTACTAACTATATACAGATTTTTTTTAACATTATCATAAATTGATAAGGTTATATACATTATATTCACCACTTGCACAAAAAGGTATAAAAACATTGACATTATTACACTTTACTTTAAGTGATATCACACCTTCCAAGCAAGGGATTGTCCTATAATTTATCAGCATGTAAAAAGGATGACTCTCTATAATAAATAGGGTACATTTTATAGGGCCATTATTTAAGCAAATAGGCTGATAGCTTATATTTTCACATGTTCCCAAACCTTTGCACAGACTCCTATCCATCTGGCACAAAATATTCTGCCTATGGTACAATATGTACTCATCTGTAAACCAGAGCAAACTGTACACATTAGTATGTGTTTGTGTTCTTCTGACAATGTGCACTGGTGTGAATGGGGCCTTAATCTGAGCATCCAACCCGCTTCACTGGCTTACATATATATACTAAGCCTTTCAGTGCAACTGCTGTGCTGCATTTGCTGCTCATTGATTGCATCTGGTTACCTGTCAAAGAAAAATGCATAAAGCGTACACATTAATGCCACACACAACGATCACATCAAAATGCTTGTGAGCTTTCCATTCACAAATGCAATGAATGAAAACAGTCAAGTGAATGAATGAATGCATGAAAGGCAGGCAAGGCGTCATTACTGACCTACTTCTGAAAATGCTATTTGCTTAGCTGTCTCCGACTTCAACACTTTCTAAGACGCAGCTCTGGAAATTAGAACTACTAATCCTCATACTTGTTTGAGGTCAGTGGCTCTGAAAGAGTTGAATCCAATGGATTAGTGTGACAGGCAGGGAACTAGCATTTTCAGAAAGAGAAGTCAGCAAAGACAGTCTATCGGGGGTGTCCAACCTTTTGACTTTCCTGGGCCACACTGAAAGAAGAGGAATTGTCTTGAGCCACACATATACAAATAAACCAACACTAAGGTTAGCTGGTTCGCAGAAAAAGTCAGGCAGATCACAAGGTAACGATGATTATTAATATAATGTACCTGAGTAATAAAACGTACCTTTTTTTGTAATATTTGTTATTATAAAAAGTAAAAAAAAAAAAAGGGCTGTAATGGTTGTACGTATTAGGCAAATGAAAGCTGTAGGCGACATCCGTCTTGTTCAGGTCACAAGTCTTCCATGTAATTTTGTCAGGAGAGAGAAATAGCCATTGTGACATTTTCCTCTCTCCCCCTTCCTCCTCCTCCTCCTCTCAGCTCATACAATCCACAAAATCTTAGTTGCTGGCATACACCCCTTATCAGCCTGGTAATAGGACTATCAGGATCTAACCCCCAATATACATCACAAGGCCTAAAAAAAGTGTCTGGCATAGCAGCTTCAATGACCAGAAAATTACCAGACATTGGGTCATAAATACCTGTTGGACTGGTTTTTGGCCAAGACTCTAAAACTTCAGCATATTTCATAATTCATGAAATAATGAAAGCACAGCCAGAATTTTGACATAGTTCCCTTCCTTCGGTTATTGGGTAGCATTTTGTAACTCAAACAGCCCTATGCAGGAAGTACAAAAGTGGATTAGGCCTCTACAACTCTCCTATAAGGGATAGATATCAGATACCTGTCATATCTATATGCATTCTGAAGCTAATTTCATGCTGGGCAATAATCTGCATGGTAACAGACTGTAAACGTTAGGTATTCAGAAATATGAATACTTCTAAGAAACTGTATTTGGGACTTAAATCTGGTAACCTCCCAACACCCGCCCCTTAAACTGGATGATTAGTCAGATGGTCTCAGTCAACACCCCTTTAATACCATAGAAAAAGGGAATGTCAGGACCAATGAAGGAACATCTGTCAAGTTATGAGAGATGATAACGCCTTGCTTATTAACTGAACTCTGCTAAAACCAAGGACTTTACAAGTATTCTTCATTTTCAACTCCCTTTTATTTCTCAGTTGCTTTATTGTCTCTTTACTTCCTTGTAACACCTTTTTTCTGTAAATATTCTATTGGCACCATTTTGACCTTTCATTATTAAACCAACTGTTTAAATTGTCTCTAACGTTCTTTAATGCAAAACTAAAATAATCCATGTCTCTTGAAGAATGCTACTGTAGTATAAATCTCTGAATATACCTGTCTGTGGTGGCAGTGTGTGCTGCAGATGTTTATTCTAAAATCACAGTTCTTACTGCTAAGATTGTGAGTTTTCCCCTTCTCAGTAAAAAAAAAGTAGTGGTGGTATTTGAAGGGGTAATTGCTCAGTTAACTTAACCCACTGACAATCACTTTCAGGCTGATGGCACCTAGATTGTAGTCCTGCAAGCTGGAAAATCTTTGTGCAGGGAGCAGATGAGAAAGGCATTGTTATGCAAGTGACAGAGCAGTGTGAGATTGGCCAGTCCTTTGTCATGAGTTGGTGAGAAGGGCAGGGGTCGGGCACCACACGCATCACAAGGGCAACATAAAACTAGTGTGATATTTGAGACCATTTTGGATAAACTAAGGCATCAATATCTGGTTTGATGGAAGTACTAGCAATTCTCAATGAATTCTCAAGGTGCTCAGATTTTTTTTTTTTTTTTTTAACAGTTGTAGCTCATTAGATATTTTGGTTCTAAATTTTGCCCTTTGTGTGCTTCACCCTTAAAAATAGTTGCTAACAAATATAGGTGCTGCCAAAAACTGATGACATGAATAAGGCACGATTGTGAAAAATGGAAGACTTTTCTTTGGGAAGATAAAACCTCCAGTAAAGAGGCACTGTCAAATTTCTTATTGACTGCATATGTTCGCTAAGTGTAAACACATTTTCACAAACAATTGCTTAAGAAAAAAGTTAACATTTTTAAGCAAGTTTACAATTTTGTGTTGGGCCGCATTCACAGCCATCTTGGGCCGCATGTTGCCTGTGTGTTGCAGGTTGGATTCCCCTTGGTTTACATATTTCTCTCAGCATGTTTTCTTTATGGCTCATACACACAGGAGGAGCATCTGAGCGTGCAAGTGCTTCCGTGCATCACATTTTAAAACAGCCCAATAATTTCAAACGTGCTGCCCTATCTGCGAGAATGTGTATAAAATGGAGTTTGTGCAATGTTTTTAAAACTGCGCTACACCAAAATAAATGGTACTGCAGTACCATGGGTTTTGGCGGGCACCAACACGTTTGCTAGATGCATGTGGGTTCCATTAAGAATGGCAACCACACACACATCTGCAAAAGGGAAACATGCTTTTGTGCGCTGCAGGATTTTGCATGCCTTCCTGTACCTCACCCGATGTGAACAAGCTCTTGAAGCTGGACTCTAGACAAACAGGCACAACACATTTTAAATAAATATATATTTTTTTTTATGTGCCAAATGATTTGCCTTTCTTCCATCCAGTCCTGAGATTTACTGCCACACAGCACATCCAGTTTTTCTGATTAACCTGTAAAACAGCCTTTCAATCAGGGTACCCTCAGGCTTCTTCGGGGGTACCTTGGCAAAATGCATAAAAATTCACAAAACTTGTATACAAGCCAGAGGGTTGATCAAGCCTGCCTTTTGGTTACACAAAGCCACAGGTTTTCATTGTGCACCATTACAATCTTCCCAACAACCAATGACGTTACTGGTTTGATAAGGACATTGGGTGCCTACACAGCATCCTTTTACTGCCCCTCTCTGTCATCACTGTGTTCACATTAGCTTAGCGAGGGAGAGAAACTGATGGAGAAGAGAAACACTGGAATATTAATCTGTACCAGTGTGCTTTGTAAAAGTAAATCACCTCTAATGTTGGGTGTCCTGCATGTGTGGCTGTTGCTGCATTAAGTAAGACTTAGTTACGTTTTTTACATTTTAGAATGGGGTGCCCCAAGATTGTGCATCATGTTAAAGGGTGCCTTGACTGAAATTAGGTTGTGAAACACTGATAAAAGCAGCATAACTTGATCACCTCCCTACCTGCGAATAGACAATGGAGAAGCAGCATGCTTACAATGTTGTCTTTCTGATCAGCACATATTCATTGCAATACACTGGGTTGGTCATTAGTGCTGCCCCTTCCTATACTGGTGCTGCTCTACAGGGTCTACAAGAGGCTGATACCATGTCAAATTCAGATATCCAAGATGGTCATAAACAAGTAGGTTTTTTCTTCAGAGAGCCGGCTGGGAAAAAAAAACAAAAAAACCTGCAGTTTTACAGAATGTCTTTCGCAAATCAAGTAAACCCACCCTATCCGCCATCCATACAAACCGTACTACAGCATCTATGAATGAAACAAGACCTGTTAATAGAGAAACCAAAGCTTTCATCCACCCATCCCACATTCAGAGATTATGCTCTATTCATTAACGCTGTAATATGGGTCCTATTACTGGTGGATGGGGCAGGAAAGGTTAGGCATAGTCAAGCTCTCTTGATCAACCCACCAGTAGTATTGTCCCTTGCTGCACCATAAGGTTGTGGTGGAAGAGGAAGGGCTGGTGGGTAGGAAACAGCAAGTTTTCCATTTGTGCAACAGAGGTCAGACTGGGAGAGGAAGGGGGTGACACAAGGGGCCAACTCAAATTATGCTGCAGTGCTTATGTGCTAACAAGC